CATTTATAAATTCTTGTTCCTCCCACCTCCTTTCTGAGTGAAAATCTAATTTTCCGTCAAATTCTTAAGGGCCTCTCTGTTTATTTAATAAATTAATGTTTCTCTATTTTTCTCAAGGGCCTCTTAAGTTTGATGTAAATGTTTCTTTTGCTTTGATTTGATCTCAATATTTCCTTAAGAATCTGCTCACCTTGACTTCAAACCCTAGTTGGTGATATGGGTTGGACTTTAGTTATGAACTGTGCTCGAGTTGGTTGCTCATGCGCGAGTGGGAAGCATTCCGTTGTTTATGCATGTTGTGCTTATAGTGCGTCACTAGGTTTTTTGTTTTTTCTTAAAAATGAGACTAGTTGGTGGTTTTGTTACGGTAGTCTATCATTTCGAAGGTCAGAAGACTTACAAAGGCATTTTAGCTTCCTCTTGGCCATCATCGTGTAATTTACCAATGCCAACAATCGAACTCACGATGTACTGTGTGGAATACGACTCTATAATTCGTTTTCCACCAGTGAGTCGTCCTGTGGTGGTTCATCACTTGTTGGAGCTTGTTAATTGGCATGTGGGGTTACCCTTGTCAAAGTGGAGACATTTTGGTAGAGCTCTCTTACTAAGGCCATCTCCAACCGATGGATGGCCAAAGGGCTCGTTTTAGCCTTCTGGCCTTCCAAGATTCTCTAAGATATTAATATTTTAATGAATAGTACATGGCCATATTTGCCTCCGTCTCCAACCAAGGGCCAGAGGGCTCGTTTTAGCCATTTTCATAAAAAACCGTCTCCTACCGAAGGCCAAAGGGCCATAGGGCCAAACATAATTTATTATTTAAAAACTACAACTTAAATTCAAGTCCAATGGCTAAGTGACGTCAGCTAGCCGTTGGATTTGAATTTTTTTTGTTGCTATAAATAGGGTGGATATTGGGATATAATTCACACAACTTTGAATTCAATCTATTTAAATTCAATCTCTTCCAATTCAATCTCTTTCAATTCAAGTTTGCAATGAATTCCAACTTTGGATCTTCTTCAGATTCCAACTGGGGGTTCTCATCCAATTCCAAAAGAGAAGCAAAATGGGCGCAAATGAGACGAGAAGATGAGGAGTCTGATGAAGAAGTTCAAGTAAGGCGCAACAAACAAAACATAGCAACAGCCATAGCTACGGCCATGGTGTGTCAGCCAACTGAGGAACAACCTCAATGAGGTGGCTCTATTGCTGGTCGCTTTTACAAACCACAAAACAGAGCGATGACGCATGCCAATCTGATGAACAACTACTTCGACCCCAATTTAGTGTACACAGTAGAGGATTTCAGACATCGCTTCCGGATGAGGCGTCATGTCTTTGAGCGTTTATTTTGTGATGCCCAACAGGTCAATTCGTACTTTCGACAAAAGCGGGACAGAGCAGGCCGCCCTAGTTTCTCACCTCATCAGAAGGTTACTGTTGCACTTCGAATGATGACTTATGGCTCCTCAGCTGATTCGATGGATGAAACTCATGGTATGTCTGAGTCTACATGCCTTGATACTCTTGAAGAATTTTGTGACACAATTGTTCAGGTTTACAAAGACGAGTACCTCTGCGAGCTAAATCAAGAAGACCTGAATTGGCTTCTTCGCAAAGTTGAAGACCGTGGATTTCCGGGCATGATAAGGTCATTAGACTTCATGCATTGGGATTGGAAGAACTGTCTCACCGGATGGCAATGAGGCTTTAGCGGAAGGTCGAGAAAGCCAACTGTTGTGTTAGAGGCGGTTGCCTCATATGACACATGGATTTGGCATGCTTTCTTTTGAGTCCTTGGATCCCAAAATGACATTACAGTTCTTGGGCGTTCACCCCTCTTCAATAACTTAACAGAAGGTAAAACACATCAACTTGACTACTACATCAATGATCGTCAATACAATATGGGATATTACTTGGCAGATGACATCTACCCAAAGTGGGCGACACTTGTCCAAACAATTCCAAACCCTAGGAATGACGCGGAAAATTTGTTTACCTTACACTAAGAGGCATATCGGAAAGATGTTGAGAGATTTTGGTATTCTACAAACATGGTAGAAGATCATTAGCGAACCAGCAAAAGGGCGGAGTCGAGAAAATTTGGACTCCATCATGATGTCTTGCATCATATTACACAATATGATAATGGAGGATGAGCGAGATGGGTATATTGATGGAGAGTCCGATGACGACCAAGAAGATCCAAATAGGTCAAGAAGGGCTCGTGCAAAAATATATAATGAGCCTAATTTGCCTTTCAATTCAAGAACTAGTAGTATCTCTATAGATGAGTACATGAGGCGCTATAGAGTGATACATTCTTGTGCCACAAATAAGTACCCACAACAAGATCTTGTTGCACATCATTGGGCCCAAAGAAGCATGGAGTAGGCATTTACGTTTTATGTTTTTAAATGTTTTTAAAAATATTGTTTAAGTTTCATGTTGTATAATTTTTATGTTGGTTAATGTTATTTAATATTGTTTCATATTGTTTAATGTTGTTTCATGCTACTTAATTTAATTTAATGTTGTATAATGGCTTAGGAAGTTATAGGAAAAAAATAGAATTTAAAAATATGAAACAAATTTTGTGAAATAGAAGTTATAGGAAAAAAATGGAATTTAAAAAAATATATGAAATAAATTTTGTGAAATAGAAGTTATAGGAAAAAAAAAGTTATATGAAAAATTTTGTAAATAAAAAATAATAATAAGACTGTAAAAAAAAAAAAAACAAACAAACAAACAAATGCAACGGCTACTAGCGTTGCATTTGAATTTTTTCTTAAAAAATCTCGTCGGTTATAACCGACAGGAATACATGCTATTATTTAGTATAAATAACCGACAAAAATAACAAAACATTAAAAAAAAAAGTAGCCAACCCTCTAGCCCTCTAGCCCTCTCCGATTTCGTGGGGCTCTCCCAGATTCTAGAACCCTCTGGCCTAGCCCTCGGTTGGAGACGGTTTTCGGATTATTTTCGGCCCTCTAACCCTCTAGACCCTTTGGTTGGAGATAGCCTAAAGCAACTTACTAGCGTGGAATCTGTTGAGATCAAAATACAAGAGTGATCTCATGCTTTTCGTAAGGGATGCCCCGTAGAAATGACGTGGTCATAGGTCATTACCTAACTTCATCTGGCAAAAATCCTTCTAGAATTATTGAATAGTTTGATCAATCTCAAAATATATGAAAGAAAAAGAAATGTAATTAATCACTACCGTTGATCAAACGTGTTCATACCAATAATCATTTTAAACCTTCATGGAAATTTCAGTTTCCAAAATAATTAGCGACATTCACGCACAAAATAAGAGACTTAAGAAGGTGGGCCATTGGTTTTACTTTGGTGCCTTTAGATATTAGCCGTTATATTTAAATATTATGCATGTCAAGCATTTTCAGTCCATGAAAATGGTTAGGTAACCTTAAAAGTCTCCCTCATTAGAAATTTCAAATTTAGAAAGAAATGAATCGTATGATATTGACAATTGAATTGCCTTTTGCGGCTCGACAAATTTTTTGTGTAACTGAAATATAAAGTGATACATCACGTGTTATAATATCATTAAACGAGAAGTTTGATATGTCTTATATTTGACTATATTTTTAAATATTTCTCAACTTATATCATGACACGTAGTTTATCGATTTGTATTCTCTAGTACACTGAAAAATTAAATGCTCCAACTGCTGTGATAAGGATTTAACTTACTAGAAAATATGTAAGAAAAAAAATTAAGAAATAAGTATCAAGGAATGAGTCGTTTTCTTTGTTATAACTTATAACTTATACCAAACACTTTAATTGACTAATAGTAGCACATGGGAAATTAAGCAACTACTTGGATTTTCATGTGTGACGACAATTGCACTGCCATCCCCATTTCAAACTTTTCAGGTTGCAAATCGTAACTCAAACGGAACCAAAGAAGACTAGGGATCATAAGATGAAGGAAGACGATGATGTGAAAGCTAATCCATCGTTGGATAACTATTTCGGTTTCAATTTTTAAATTTTAAATTCATTGTTTTAAACAAAAACTTGTTTGGTAATTATTTTTAATTTCAAAAATTGAAAGCTAAAACGTCAAAATTTGAAAACTTAAAGAAAATATTTTTCACTTTTTTAAAGAAAACTGAAAAATTGAAAGCAGTTAACAAATAAAATTTTAGTTCTTAATTTTCATAATTAAAATAAAAACGAAAAACAAAATGGTTATCAACATCCTTTACATTTTCCAGAAATCTCATATGGACGATGTTATTCCTTTCAAACTTGGCAACTTGTAGTCTTTTACTAAAAAGAGAAAGAGGGAAGAAAGTGTAAGTCCCATGTTTTAACTTTTCAAGACTCTCGTGTAAGGTGTGTTTCCACGTGTTCCAAAACGGTCTCATTGCATGAGAAAATGCAGAAAAAAAAAATTGAATTATGCAATATTTTCTTACAAAAAATTGGGTTCCTCCTGAAAAATTCTTATTCACACTTTAAATTAGTCATCTTGTATTTTTGTCTTTCTGATATCTTTTTACTAGCGGTGTAAAATAAAGAGAGTACTAAATACATGCGTGCCTTAGCTATGTGAATCTATTTTTTCAATTTCTACATTTTGAAAATTATCGTATTCAACTACTAATGTAGTTTGTTTGAATTCATATAATTTTCATTAAGAATAATTACATCGCAAAAGTAATATTGGTAGTTACACACCCATTAAGTAATAACCTCTTCATTTAGTAAAACTGATTTGATCATAACATTATGAATATGTAGAGGTTTTATGACGTCAAGTTATCATATCCGTTATGCCTTGGGCGACACACATACTACAATGACCAGAACAAGGGTCGCAATCGCGCGAAGGTGAGTTTAACTTCAAAAATTCAAAAGAATAAAAAAGATGCCATGAAGATGCCCTCATGTTTTTTTCTTGTGTTTTTATTTTAAAACAATCTTGATTGAAAACAGAAGAAAAATTAAAATCTAATTCCTCCCTCCACCGTCAACATTTTCCAGTGTCACTGTCAAGTCAGCACCAATGGTCAAGCCTCCCTTGGAAACAAAGAACTCCCAACAAATCCATACAAATTCCACGAACTCTCACTCCTTTAATCATCAATTCCAATCCCCACATGCGCCCTTCCCACTTGCTTCCCAACAACACCAACACCCACAAACCTCAGACCCCAACTCCGCCACCACCGGCGGAGCTGCCTCCGCCTCACCCTTCCATTTCCATGGAGCTCGTACAGCCTTCGCACCCGCACCATGGCCCGGTGGCGGAATCCCTTTCTGGGTTCTCTTCTCCGGTGAGTTTCCGACGTGGGTTTGACCGGCCGGCGACTTCCTCCTCTCAGTCGCTTGAGATTTTTGAAGAAGACGGTGGTGGTGGTGGTGACAAGGTGCACGTGGCGGTTGGGAAGTCTGTGGAGAAAGCTTTGAGCTTGCTTCGTTGGACTTTCAAGCACTTTGGGTGTAAAGAAATTTGTCTTCTTCATGTTCATAAGCCTTCTCAGCACATTCCAACTCTCTGTAAGTTTCTCTCTCTGGTAAAATGGTTCTAAGTTATTCACTTATGGCGAAAAGCTTCTAATATTTCTTGATTCTATGAGTTTCATATTGAAATTATTTTACTTGTATGGTTTTTGAGGAATTGTACTTCAAAAATGTTATGCATATATGTGTTGTGAATGGAATGTCAATTATCTTCTGTCTGCCGCCCTCCATTTTGCGACCGAGAAAAGAAAGGGGTTCTTATGATCTACCATTTTCAGTTCTTATTTCAGGCGTCTGCTACGTGGACTGAGACCTTTTTCTTCTTCTTCTTCTTTGATTTGTTTGAAATTGTATATAAATCATGATTACATCGATGGTGCAGTAGGAAAACTGCCCGCAGGTCAGGCAAATGCCGAGGTGGTGTCGGCTTTCAGGAGGGAGGAGAAGGAGCGGAAAATGAAGCTGTTGCAAAATTATTTGAGGGCTTGCTCTATTGCAAAGGTGTGTGCTTTGTTTTTCTTTTTTGATTTCTTAATTCAATCTTTACGTTTTGTGTTTACTTTCATAGCATGTATAAAGTTACGCAGTTCGTTAGGGAAGAATTGAACATAGTTGCCCTCATTTTGATGTTCTTCATATTTGGCAAAACCTTTAGTTCACTTATTCAGCTCTCTAGTTTTTTGCTTCATGAACAAAGTTTTTGTTGCTTTACATATTATTTTTTGCTTCATTGGTGCTGAAAAAGCCTTGATAGTTCAGCATCGATGTTAAATTTTTCTGAAAAACTAATAGGCAAATTCCACATTTCGTAAAGGGTAGTGCTATCCACACACCCTTTTTTACTTCTCACACACCCCTTTCAATTTCTGGCAGTCCGATCGAACGAATTGAAGATCAATGGCCAAAAATTAACAAGGGTGCGTGGGAGGTAAAATTGGGTGTGTGAATAGCACTATCCTTCTTAAAATGATAATTGCATAATAACTGATTTAAAATTGCATATCATGCGTAAATAAATTATTCAAAAGAAGTATATTAGTGTAACCATTTGCTTTACAGGTTAAAGCAAGCATTGTTATGGTTGAAGCTGATGAAATTCAGAAAGGAATTGTAGAGTTGGTCAACAAAAATGGTGTTAGGAAGCTTGTTATGGGAGCTGTGCCAGAAAAGTAAGTGGTGCATATGTTGGATAAGTTTCCACCGGAAGTCTAGTGTTTGCTTATGAAGGTTAACCTACTTATAAAAAAGCACAATTAGGTTGTATACTGTGGTCTGCATAAAATTGCAAATCACTCAGACACGAACTTGGCTGTCCAGCTTATTTGTACTGCAATAAAAATAGGGGATATCGAAGAGCTTCCTCAAACATTGGTAAACATGTATTTGGGAACTGATTATGCTATGGTCCAGTGGTCGTCCCTCCTCCCTTAGGGTAGGCAAATGAGGCCTACAAATATTTACCCTCAGCAAAAGCCCTGTCTTCAGTCCAACCATGAATGCATCATCTTAGAAAAGAAAATAAAACTGTGTTTACTTAAACCCCAATGCGTAACCTCGTTTCAAGTTCTTTAATACAAAATGCCAAGTATAAATAACTGTGGACATGTGGGGCTCAAGTGTTTTTTGTTGACTTAAGATGTATATGTATCCAAAAACTGTCTTGTGAGTACTTTTGTTTCGTTTTTTGTTTTTCTGTACACATATCGAATTATTATTCTGTCAAGTTTTATGTATTAGCTATTAAGGGACGTATTAAGAATTCACCTTGTGCTCCCAAACTCTCAAGGCCGGTTCTTACCAAGGAAGTGGTCCAGGGGTCAACTCCTACTCCACTAAGTAGGAGTTGAACACACCCTGGGGGAGCAAGTAAATTGACTAAGCAATAAACAAAATGAAATGTAGTTGTGAAGTTTTATTTTCTGAAGTTTTCTTTCTCAGATAGGCAATGAAATTTACGTTTTCATGGTTTTGTTCTCATGAAACTTGAATGCTGTATCTTTTGCAAATACATGATTCGTTATATTTGTATTAATATTGCATAGTAGATGAGTTGTCTTTCTAATATTGTAATATAGTTGCCTGAAGGTGAAAAAGAGCTCCAGCAAGGCAAATTATGCAGCCAAATGTGCTCCATTGTTCTGTGAAATATGGTTTATCAACAAAGGGAAACATGTCTGGACGAGAGATGCTTCAGAAGGCCAAAGTTTTCCAACCTCATGTAGGCAACTGCAGGTTGCATCTGCAGAAAGTTTGAGGTCTGGATCGTTTGAAAATAGAGAGAATACGAACCTCCGTGAAGCATCGCCAACTTTAGCTTGTCCTACAGATACGTGCTTACCCTACAATATTCATACTTCAACTAGTACAAGTACTAGCTCTGGTTCTGGATATATTTCTGCTGAGGTAAGGATGTCCTCAGATTCTGATTTAACCGTTGAGGAACAGAGCTTATATCGTATGCTTACGGAAGCTACAACAGAAGCTGAGACCTCAAAGGACAAGGCATTTGCAGAGCTATCGAAGTGCAAAAGTTTAGAATCAGAAGCTATGAATGCTATAAACAAGGTAACTGCGAGTTGATGTTGCCTCTTAAGGACTAACATTTTTGGTTTGTGAATCCTAGAAGTTACGGTACATGATCCATTTCAAGAGTGTTATGCTCGAAATAAATTTGTTTGATGCAATGAAGGGAACTTCCTGCGTACTTTCAAGTTTATGACTATGAGTGTGAAGATAAAAATAAATTTGTGTTATGCATTGAAGGGAACTTCTCAATACTTTCAGAAGATTAGTAAGCACAAATTGCTGATTAAGAATTTCTTGGCAAAGAAGATATTTGAAACATTTTATATGTGGGTTATATCTAATGAACTTGAAAACTATGTTGTAATGAAATAATTTATTCATGAATCTGGTGAGTTACTCCTAACTCACAATTGTTTTTCTCTGTTTCAGGCCAAGGCATTTGAGTTAGCCCGTGCCCGAGAAGTTAAGCTTAGAAAAGAGGCTGGGGATGCCCTGAGAACCACGATCGAGGAAGAACAAAAACTCTTGGAAGAGAAGGAAGAAATTAGTGGTGAGATAAGGAGGGCCATGAGAAATATTGCCCTTCTAGACGTCCGAGCACAGGAAGCAAGTCGAAGGGTTGATGAAGTTTCTGGGGAAGTGAAGCAAATTCAGGCTTCGATTGCAACTCTTTGGCAGGAAAAACAGGGTATTCAAAGACAGAAGATGGAAGCCCTTCGCTGGATTGAGCGGTGGAGAAATCATCGACAAGCTGGAGCCGCAAACTGCAACGGGCTCATTGGGTTTGTTGAAGAACTGCCCAAGTTAGCGGAATTCTCATTGTCAGATTTGCAGACTGCAACATGCAATTTTTCTGAGAGCTTTAAAATCGGGCAGGGAGGATATGGTTGTGTTTATAAGGGGGAAATGCTGGGCAGAACTGTTGCCATAAGGAAGTTGCATCCACATAACATGCAAGAACAAGCCGAGTTTCAGCAAGAGGTCTCTCTCTCAATTATATGTCAAGCTGATATGGTGATTAATGTCAACGGCACTTCAAAAGATGCTCATATTTGTTTTTCTCTGTGCTTTGCTTGCAGGTGCAAGTTCTTGGAAAATTACAGCATCGTCATCTTGTGACCTTGCTTGGTGTGTGTCCAGAAGCATGGTCGCTTGTATACGAGTACTTATCAAACGGGAGCCTGCAAGACCATCTTTTTAGGAAAAGCAATATATCTCCAATGACATGGAAGACCCGAACACGGATAATTGCTGAAATCTCTAGTGCCCTTTGCTTCTTGCACTCATCTAAACCTGAGAAGATTGTCCATGGTGATTTGAAGCCGCAAAACATACTACTAGATTCTGAACTCAGATGCAAGATCTGTGATTTCGGGATTTGCAGGCTGGTAACTGAAGACAATCTTTACACACGAAGTTTCCGCCGGGGGGCTGAGCCAAAGGGTGCTTTTCCTTACACAGATCCAGAGGTGCAGAGAATCGGAGTCCTGACGCACAAGTCTGATATTTATTCCTTTGGGTTGATCATTCTGCAGTTAGTCACCAGACGGCCGCCAGTTGGCTTAGCTGGTGAGGTGCGCAAGGCAGTTTTAGGTGGAAACTTGGCATCAATCCTGGATTCTTCCGCTGGAGAATGGCCTATATCTGTGGCAACACGATTGGTAGATCTTGGTTTGCAATGCTGTGAATTGAATAGTAGGGAAAGACCAGAGCTTACACCAGCTTTAGTGAGGGAATTGGAGCAGTTGCATGCCTCGGAAGAGCGACCAGTGCCATCTTTTTTCTTGTGTCCGATCCTTCAGGTGAGTTATACTAATTACCCTCGTTTGCTAATGTTCCAAATTCTATTAATCCTCGGATTCAATTGGTTTTCTGTTTATTAATTCATGAAGGTGCCGTGAGGCCCTAAACCGAAATTTTGTTTGACATGCCTTAGGAACTTATCACAAGAAACATTTAGATCAATGATTTAGACTCAGGACTAAGCTAGTCAATTGTAGCTTATGCACCAAAAAGCTCCAAGCTTTAAACTTGAATATAAGAGCTAGGGTGTCAAACAACTTTCAACTTAATGGCTGACACACATTGTTCATCGTTTTCAGGAAATAATGCATGACCCTCAGTTGGCAGCTGATGGCTTCACTTACGAAGGTGAAGCTTTGCGTGGATGGTTACAAAATTGTCGCGAAACTTCTCCAATGACCAATTTGAAATTGAGTCACTTGCATCTCACTCCTAACCACGCCCTACGGCTTGCTATTCAAGATTGGCTTTGCAAGACTTGAAATCTCAGTCCTTTCATGTAAGTATGTCGTCGCTATGTCATTCATTCGGACATTCACACGTGTAGATTTTCGTTGTAACGATTGTATATCATGCAATGATAGGGAAAGTGCTTGTTTTATAAAAGCTACCAAAATTTGAAAGCATTGTAAAGTTAACGAGATACAATTACACTATTGAAATAGCCAGATTAGTTTTCTAATGATACGACTGTATTAGCTAAAGCATGCACCAAGACATGGTTTAATTGTAAGTTTACTAAATTGGGAAACATCAAGATGGAGTATATTTAGTCATAATCTCAACCGCTCACTGGTGTAAAAAAATATGCGCGTTCAGGTTGCGTACTATAAACGCTATTTGTAAGTAACATACTCTTCGAGTTGCACACTAAACAATTAGACTAATAGTGCATACAATACTTGAATTCTCGATGTAGATATTACAATTGGTTCTCGTCCTTCAGAGATTAGGAGCGTAATAGGAACATCAGTTGACAAACGGTCTTTTTTATACGAGTGCATTAACTTGCAGCAAGCAATGAAGCAGCACTTGGATTGTGTGTTTCATTGAAGGGGTGTTCATTCTCAGCAGAAACTTCAAACCTAGACACATCTTTCTCACCACCCAAAAGTGGGTTAGACTCTCCCTTGCAGTTCCAACTCTCTAACTCTTCCTTCTCTGGAACCAAGCTTTCTTTAAAACTTGAAGTTTCGGGTTTCTCTGCTTCGTCCTTGACGGCCTCAATGATCGCAATGCTTCCGTTGCTCTGCTTTGATTCTTCAACTTTCTTAGTAAAATCTTCGACGTCAGATGATGGAAACTGATTCTCTTGGTTTTCATCGTCACTGGAGAGAAATTGAGAATTAGACCTTCCATACGTTTGAACTCCAAGAATCCCTTGTGCTGAAGAACCAGATGATCTTTGGCAGAAGCTTCCAAACCCTTGGATCCCTCTTGTTAGCTTCCTAGCTCTGTCTCTCTCCTCTTTGAGAAGAGGCCCTTTCTCTAGCAGTTTCAAAATTCTCCCCGACTTCTTTCTAAGAGCAAGGCCCCAATTGAATCTGCATTTTAAATATTTAGACCTCTCACAAATTACTCGTACACAAAGCCATGCTGCACTCCTCCCGTTCAAAAAATGGACGAGAAGATGTTAAGAACGACTTATGTATTGAAGTGCCAATAACAGCTCTCGGAAATGATATCAGAATTACGTACCCTTTCTCATCTATATGCTGAAAGCTTCCCATCTCTTCAATAACATCTTTGTCAATCTCAAACTCAACTGCAACACTTTCCGGTCCATGAGTAAGTAAATGCTCAACTACAATCAGAGAATTGTAGGATACCCTCCAGTTCTTTCTCTCAAACTTCTCTAATCTGATACACAATTACAAAAACATAGATTAATCACCAAAGTTACATGTATACTAAATCTCAAGCGAGCGTAAAAGATAGTAATTTCCACACTCATTTTTCTCCTCAAACACTCCTCCCTGTTTTTCTAGTTGTTGGATTGAATGAATCAAACAGTAAAAGAATGGAAGAGAAAACCGTACCAAACAAAACAGAGAGAGAGAGAGAGAGAGAGTGAATAAAAAAAATAAAAAAAACAGATACCTTTTGTGCAAAATCTCCACAATTCTTGTGTAATCATCCAGTTCAAAAGCAGCCTTTGAAATTGAACCCAAGGTCCTTGTGTCTGGTGACAATGGATTCCCATCTGTAGCTTCTTCAGTCAATCTTCACACATTAAACACCGACGAAAAGGTCCATCACATCAGAATCCAAAGTCCCAAGAAGTTCCATGACCAAAACCAGACCAACAAAAAAACCACCAAATCCCATCTCACAAAATTCAACTAATAAATCAGAAAAACGAGAGGAGGCGGATATTCTAATCTTATCTAAACTATGAGGAGATGGATTCAAACTTGGCTGCAGAGGGAAACGGGAGCACGCTGTTCTAGCCAACTTAGCTACGCACCAGAGAAAAGATTGATTGAAACTTACAATTGCGCTGGTGTAACATCTGTGAGGACTAGTCTTGCAGTCTTGATCTTCTCCTTGAAGAAGAAAGAAGCTTGTTTCTTGAACTCATGAAATGAAGGTGCTCCATCGTTGCTGCTGCTATTGTTGCTTAAGATCGACATTTCTGAGTTTCCGAAAACATGAGAGGAAAGAGAGAAGAAGAAGAAGAAGAAAGTCTTGTATACCAGTTTGGCGTTTAGATTAGATACAACACCAAATTTCTAACAAATAAAGGGCGGTGAGACTTCCATTCCATATGTAATCATATTGGAAGAATGAGTCACAAAAGTCAATTGTTTAAGTTAATTAATTGGGGGAGAAGATTTCAAAGTTGCAAAGTTTGAGTGATGTAGCAACCGACGTGAGGAGGCTTTGAAACTTCCAACTTGAAAGCAAATGTTGTTTAAATTAATTTTGCAGACGTGTGTTTTGTTAAGTTGGATAGAGTCGTGTGCTATGCTCACTGCACTCAAATTTAAATTTATCTCCCGTATGCAAGGTTCTAAAAGACGTTAGGTTATAGTCGAGCAGCGAGCTAGGACCTAGTGCCTAGGCGGGACCTAGGCGGACTAGACGAATTTAAGTAGATTTATTATATGTTATATAAATAAGTGTCTATTTATACTTCAAAACACATATAATTATATTGGGATACATAAATTGTAAAATAAAATGACATATATGTTATAAAGTATTAGAACATATTGAAAACATGGGAAACAAACATATAATGAGCCTTCATCTAAGTATTCATTAAGTCTCTTACATTTTATTGAAAAATTAAAATGCAAAATGAAAGTTATCAATTTTTTGTCTAAGTGAGAGTCATGACCTAGACGAGTGCCTAGGCGGTTTATGCGGGCGGGTCTAAACACACTTTCTTAATTTTCGAACGCTTAAGGACTAATCGGGACAGTGACCAGCCATCTAGCGCCTAGACAAAGATTTTTAGAAGTGCCCGTAGGTTAGTAAAACGAGTGGAGTTGCCCTAACGAGGATGTGAAGTCACCATCTGATTTGTCTACATACATTAGTGCAGAAGGGGCGGTGTTTTGGTTTGAATTTGAAGTGAGGACCGCAAAGAAATTTGCATCTTGTGGGCAATTTTGCCCCATATTTAACGGTGGAGCTGTACACCTCTTGCACTTGCCACTTTCATGCACTGTGTGACAATGACGTTGCTAAAATATCATTTGAACACCGGCTAACCGCTTCTATTTAATTAAAAAATCATAGGTTGCTTATGGTTGGGAATTGAAGATTAGGAACATCTGATCCGTCGAGTAGTATAAAGTTGACATCGTCAAAGCGACCAATCGATGGCTACAGATCAGGTTTTTCTTCTGGTGTTTGACAAACATTTTGTTTTCAGTTTTTTATTTTTGATTTTCAATTTTCACTATTTTAAAAACTGAAAAATAAAATCTTGTTTGATAAATTACTTTTAATAAAAACTGAAACCAAAAAATGAAAACTCAAGAAAGTAATTTTCTTTTTTTGGTTTGAAATGTAGGGGTAAAGATGATTTGCTTCGAGTACTGTGTGGATGTTTGTAAGAAGAATTATCCCACTTGGAAGGAGGAGAAGAAATTCTTTTGACGATGTGAGGGGTTTATTTGAAGAGGTATTTATCGATTTCTCTCTTTTTTATTCTTTTTTACTTGTAAAGAGTTGTTAATTTTTTTTTCTTGAATTTAATTTTAGCTGATTATTCTTCTGAATTTTTGTAATTAGCTAATTACTCCGACATTAAATTTGGAATTTTCCATCCAATTTTCTACCTATTTTTTGTCACATGGCAAATATTTGATGTCACATCCTGGCCCGGACCCCTACCACATCTTGTGCTTGACTCCATTGTAGCACGATATTATCCGTTTTGAACCCCGACCACACCCTCACGGTTTTGTTTCTAGGAACTCACACGAGAACTTCCCAGTGGGTCACCCATCATGTGATTGCTCTTGCATGAACTCGCTTAACTTTAGAGTTCCGATGGAACTCGAAGCCAGTGAGCTACCAAAATACCTCGTACTAGGTAGAGATGAGAATATACATATATGACTTACATGATCCACTCCCCTGGACAATGTGGGATGTTACAATCCACCCCCCTTAGGGACTCGACGTCCTCTTCGGTAAACTTCCGGCCAGTGATTGGCTCTGATACCAAATTGTCCTATCCCTGCCTAGGCCCCCACCACATCCTGGGCTCGACTTCTCCGTAGCATGATATTGTTCGCTTTGGGCCCGACTACGCCCTCACGATTTTGTTTATGGGAACTCACACGAAAACTTCCCAGTGGGTCACCCATCATGGATTGCTCTCGCCCGAACTCACTTAATTTTGAAGTTCCGGTGGAACTCGAAGCCAATGAGCTCCCAAAAGGCCTCGTACTAGATAGAGATGGAAATATACGTATATGGCTTACATGATCCACTCCCTTGGACGATGTGTGATGTTACATTTGAAGGCAATAAAGTAATTTTATCCTTAATGCGGACATCAGATTATTTTTTTCCTTCTTATTCTCTTTCACTAGTTGACTATGTACACTTTCTGTTTGAATTAGTCATGAGAGTCCAATTAGCAGAGGTAAAGTGTTGGCTTAGCACCCAATCCACCAAAAAGAAAATATCTCTTTGCCCTCGTATAGTTCTCATATGTTTGTCCATGTGACAAAATGGATATAAAATGTAACAACCCATCCCCAAAAATTACAGTCTTAATAATTTTTAAATGTGAATTTATGGAAATGCCCTTCGAGGCAAAGACGTTGATTTTTGTTGACTGTCTTGTCATGTCACGTAAAGTTTATTTTCTTAGCGTATCCTCGTAGTACTCGTCGCTATAGACGCGTGAGGGCAAACAGAACACAATTTGGAGTTATAATGAAGATATTAACGTTTAAAGTTTGGGGCATTTTAGGAAATTAATTAATATCAAGAAAGCTCTAGATTTTTGGAGCAAAATCTGGAAAACCACGTGTGTGGCCCAGATTAAAAGGAAGAAAAGATGGGCGGTGGAGATGAAAGATAAAGGAGAGAAAGGAGGGGCGGGATGCCCATTCAGAAAAGGAGAAAGAAGAAGGTGACCAATGGGTGAGGAGAGAAATGACGGAATGGGAGAAGGAGAGGAACCCGCCGAATGGGTTCCCCCTGACCCGTACCCAGCTAGGCTCCTCCACACTTTCCGTCACCTTTTCAGGCGATATTTTTTTGGCAAATTGCTGCCATCCATCACCTGGAAAATATTCCACTACACTCCCTCTTCCTTTTCCACCTAAAATTATAATGAATTTGGTTGTATTTTGGGGAAAACATCCCAACAGGAACCATGGGTGCCATGAGGACCCTCAGCCAAGATCCACCAAACCTAAAACGTTTTCATTCAATTAACACCACTAATAGATTCTCCATGAACCCATAAACAAAGCCCAATCAACCTTGGAGGCGTCGAAGCTTGTTTGGAGTTGAATCAAGAACACTGATTTCAAAGGTTTCCGGTGGATCAAGGTGGATTTCAGGTGTTTTCTGGCCAAATTGGACTTGGCCACATGTATTAAAATTGTTCCCTTTACTAAGATCTACTTTTCTGTAGAATTTGGTAATTTTTTAAAATAGTTGATTTTTCTAGCGAATGGGAGCGGCCAACCGCCACCACATGCGGCTGTGCGTGTAGCGGCGCGTGGGCCGAGACGTCCCCTAACCTTCTTAGGCTAAATTTGAATACCCTGATTCTATTGGTGAAGTCTGATTGACGAATTTCCGTCGTTTGAACGTAGTTCCATTAAGGTCCACCGCTTAATTATTATAGCAATCGACAATCCAACCGTTGGATCGTCACCAAACTTTGATATGTTATAGTATGTAATATTTGAGGATATTAGAAACTTACGGATTGAGAATCCAATGTACCGATCCTCCCGAATAGGATATGTAAGTTAAGTGTTCTATTGATAAGAATTCTGAGACGTGACTTGATATTTATTCTAGGCACCGATTGTTCGTGATGCCTCGATATTTGTGTTAGGGAGTTGTAGCACTGACTCCAGGTGAGTGGTATATATGTATATATGTTTTCCATTTTCCAGAAATGGTTTAAATGGATTTACGTTTTTAAATGTCATGTCAATTTCATTACATTTTAGTATATGCATTAGTGTAGATATGCATATTATTGCATGACGTTGCGGAAACCCAGGTAAGCTTCAGGTAGTGCATATTGATGATAGTGGCTGCAATGTGTATGGTTATGTTGAGATTCATTTAGTGCTCATTATCATGTTCCCGGTGTTAGTGCTCCACCCGAGGCCAGGGCCAGTCTTCACGTGATCGTTCACCTTCCGCACCACACGCTCACTTTGGATCCAAGGCAGGTGCCAGCCTGTATACCACATTAGGTGGTTTCGACTCATAGGTGACTTGCGATACTTCGCACAACCTTCACGTGACCGTAGCACTTGAGCGTATCTATTACACCCAGCCTGTCGTACATATCATATTAGGTGGTTCCGACTCGTGTGCAGGAATTGGTAGATGAGCTATAGGCTCAGCCGTACATGTCACGTTAGGTGACTCCGGCTGACATATCAGTTTACATTGATTTAGTTCACCTAGTTTACTTATTTCATTGTCGAGATACTTGACATGACATATACTTGGTTTTCACTACCCTTGAGCATGATTTCTACATACGTATGTATTATTATTTTCTGGAAACTAAACGAGTTTTACAATGAAGGGTTATTACTTTCAGAAAAGAGAAATGTGTTTTCTAAAGCTTTGTTTTTATGCCCACTCACCCTTGTTTTTCGCCCCTCCAGGTTTTAGCTGCTGAAAGTTCGTATCGACGAGGATTCTTGGTAAATCTCAGTTCAGGTGGCTACCTTTGAGGGTATGACCCTTACCCACACTACTGTACTTTACTTATACTCTGACGTCGCGCGTGAAATGGGTTCACTCCTGCTCATAGCGCTCTCTTGTCTTTAGGCACTTTTAGGTTTAAATTTATTCACATTTTCCACATCACTATACTTTATGGCTTCGTCACCTTCCAGGTGTTGGCCAGCACAGCTCGTTCCGGAGTCCTAGTGGACATTCCGGGTCAGGGTGTGTCATAAAATATGATGAAAATTTTCTTAATCTACCATAGAGAAAAATTCACTATTTATAAAAGTTCAAAAAGTAATCGGCTAAAATTAAAATTCAGGAAAAATTTGACAGTTCCATACAAATTAAGGAGCAAATCGACAAATAAAAAGTTAAATCTCAAGCAATGTCCA